AAGGCCATTAGTAAGGGAGAAAGGGGGGAAATGGGGGTACCTTAAGTGGGAAAACCATGATGGAGGGGTGAGACAATGTGAGAAATAAACAATGCCTAGCTAGTTTTGAAAACCAGAGGGAACCATATTACTCCTACAACCTATTGACAAATTATACATAGCAGATCAAGAAATATATATCTAGGTAAGGTTTATCTGATAAGAAATGGTCTTTGCTCAAGATTTATCTACATGGTACACAGTAATTAAAAGTACCAGACTGGTGGAACTAACCTTCTTGGATGTTTAACAGACATACTTCGTGGCATATAATAATTTCATCAGAGGGACATAAAGGACAGTTTTTGCTCCTTGCCCTCCTAGGTCGACTAGTTTCAGGGGACTACGAGCATCTCTCAAAATTTCCTGTAATTGTGGTGGGTCACCTGTCCTATTGATCAAGGAGGCTGAGGAGACCCCACCAGATGGACTTGAACCAGTGTCCAGTCTACAAAGAGGTGGGTCAACACAGAGGAATCATGTCCTCCAGGCCTGACCAAGAGTTGAGGGAAGTCAATAAAAAAGTCCTCATGTATAGAACTGGAAAGATTGCTCAATGGGTAAAGGTACTTTCTGCCAAGCCTGATGACCTGAGTTCAATCCTCAGGACTCACATGGTGGAAGGAGAGAACTGACATCACCAAGTTGTCATTTGAACATCAACACACACACACACACACACACACACACACACACACACAATGTAATTTTCAAAAAGTCCTCTGGTATATATGAAACTTCTATTGTACTAAACTTTGGATGCCAGAGAAAGGATATTCAGTGTTTGTTTTATTTCTTTCAGAATCACTCATGTCACCCTCACATGTATACATACTCCTGACTTGTAGCCCGCCAAGTCACAGGAGACCAGCATTAATCTGGGCTGCTCTGAGGAAGGCACCAGGATGCTGGGTGCATAGAGTTGAGGTAGCACCCAAGATCTGGAGTGAACCACCTGGATCCAACACCAGAAATGAGAACTTCTGTGTCGTATCTTCCCAGTGATCACATTTTACAAAATGAAAGAAAGAAAGCTGGGGTGGGGGGAACCTTAAAAACTTCTGAGTACTTGCTGGTGGAATACTTTCTTAAAGATCTTAGTCATTGATGGGAACCCAAAGGGTAATTAGTTAAAAGGAAAAGGCAGGCTCTCGCCAAGGACAGATCTTATGAATGCTGCCAGCCAAAGAGTAAATCATTTTTCAGGTCACCCATTCTCATCTCTGTGTTGATGCATATGGATTAGTCCACAGAGCAGATGCTTATTAAGGAAATATGCACCAATTACCACATACAAGTAATTGGGGTCACCACATAAAAAAATACATGTTCGGGGCTGGAGAGATGGGTCAGTGGTTAAGAGCACTGACTGCTCTTGCAGAGGACCAGGGCTCGATTCCTAGCACCCACCTGGCAGCTACGAACCGTCCTTAACTCCAGTTCCAGGGGAACCTGGTGCCTTCTTCTGACCTCTGAGGCATTGCACGACACGGGTGTACTCACATACATGCAGGCAATACACTCATACACATAAAATAAAAATAATAATAAAATATTTAAAAAATACATATTCTTAGTAAATTAATGGTCAGGTGGTCATCCACCAACTCAGATAAAGGCACTCTCGGTGGAATGTCTGGAGGCTCCTTGCAGTTAGAAAAGAGAGATGGGGACCTGAAACAGTGAGTGTCAGTATTTCAAGGCATCTGGTTTTCTCTTTCACTGCAAAGGAAATCCCCATACAACAGGGGAGAGGTTGGTGCAGTGTTGACCCTTTCACAGCTGGGAAAGGACAACCTGGTGAAGATCTGGCCAGATGTGAGCAAATCTGCTGGAACTTTCACTACACTGATGACTCATGGGGAACTAGGATAAAGATCTCCTGCTTCCTCACCAGAGGGCCCCCCCTTTCCATTAGGACCAAATTCCTCAGAGATAAGAGGCTGGTCAGATAAGAACTACACTTCCATCTAATACTAGATTGGTACCAACCTTGTGGTATCAATGACCTTTTTATCTGAACTGAGTTCTTAAATTATGGGCATAAGCTTAGCATTTCCCTCCCATTGCTTCCCATTTCTGTGCTGAGATGAGTTCTGCTCTTAGCACCCCCATTTTACAGATGAAGAAAATGAGACTCCAGAGCATAAGGCATTTGTCCATGGCCCCTCAGTTCCTAGCCAGACTCAAACTCAAGCAATTTGACTTCTTACTTGTGCTCTCAAATACCGTGTCCTAGTCACTGGCAAAAACACTGTTGTGTAGCCATTTCTTCCAAACTGAAGTAAATGAAACTAGAAGTAAACTCACAAATCTCCAGAAGTTCCTGAAACTTATGATTCTCAAGTCCCTTCCCAAGGCTATGTATGCAACAACAATTGCTGGGGAAAGGAGACTCTGACAGGGGGGAGCTCACTGCAAGTCAATACAGGGAGTCCAGGGATGCAGTTTTCATGAGTTCTCACCTACGCAGAGGCAAGCTTTGAGTATTCCATGCTCCTGTAAATAATCCCTACTCCTAGTCCCTAGTCCCTACTCCTATAATTCCAATAAACTCATTGCTTCACCAAGCTAGATTTGAATGAAGTCCTGTATGGAGTGAATAGACATTTATTTGTGTGTTTCTAGGAAGACACACAATAGATACTTGCAACAAAATCTTAACTCTGAACCTGCTTCTGAGTGGTCTCAGTGCCTGGATCACTGGAAACACTCCTGATGCTGCATTGAGCTGCTCTGGCCTGGAAAAATCTTTGGTTGTCTCCACCCCAAGCTCTGGTAGGCCTTCTCAGAACGTGCTGATGGCCCTGAGGACCTGCTTCACTAGCGCCATCTGCTCCTAAACTGCTTTGTCACTTTCTTGGCAGTCCTTGTGCTTGGGGAAGTTGCAGTGAGTTTGGTTCAAACTCCTGCACAGCAGCAACACTCTGAACCAGCCTTTCTCCACAAGTAACTTGAAAAATTATGGATAAGAAAGAACTACTTTTTCAGTTTTTTGGAAAAGGGTTTCAGGATGTAGCCCAGGCTGACCTTGAACTTGCTCTGTAGCCCAGGATGGCCTCAAACTCACTATCCTCCTGCCTCAGCCTCCCCAGGGCTGGGATTACAGGTATGCATCACCACACCTGACCCTGAAGCCACTTCTGGGATCTTTTGACACATTGTTTCATTCTCTCTAGATATTTTTAAACACATGGACAAGGGGCTAGGGATGTGGAGCAGTGAGTAGAGTGCTTGCCTAGCTTGCACTAAGTCCTGGGCTCCATTCTGCATAAACAGCGCATGGTGGTGCATAATCCTATAATTGCTGTAATCCCAGATAGAGAAAGGAAGACCAGAAGATCAAGGTTATCCTGTAGCATGAGAAGGGACGACCCCGAAAAGAAAGGAGCTACTTTGCAGCTGTGGCATGGACATGCTGGAAGAGTTCCCTAGGCCAAACGTAGCAACATCAAAGGTCTTAGAGGCTCACTGGGGTTGAAACCTGGACCAGAGACCCCAGAGGAGGCAAATTCAGGCACTGGAGTGGGTGAGTTGGAAGGAAATTTTATACTCAAATTGGGAAGAAAAACCAAGGCTCAAATTAGCCATGCTTAATGGGGAAAAAATATCAATGATTAAAGAAGAGAATCCCAAATGGTACTGAAATATTTCCTTTTATAAATCTTGCTTAGCGTGTGATCTGTTTAATTAAACAAATTATCTACATTAGCACTTCTGCTCATCTGCTTTAAGGAAATTTTAGAAGAGAATAATTAAACAGAAAAGCATCTTCTCACACTCTATCAAACATACCTACAGGCAGCCTTGATTAGAGGTCCTCGGGTGTGTTTTTCTCCAGGTCATCTGGGAACTGGGTACAAGTGCAGATTCTTGAGCCCCGTCCCCTCCACCAAATCAGAAACTCTGTTGTGGTGCCCAGAAACCTGCATTTGAACAAGTCTTCCAGTGAGCTTGATGCCTGCTCAGATTTGAGGACCATGAGGCTACATGTTCAAGCCACACGGTCACTATCATGGGGAACATACTCACCTGATGTTCACCTGAACTGCAAAGGGCTCAAGCAGGGCATAGGTGATTCACACCTGCTCCTTCAAATCTAAACTTCAACACCCAAAAGCATCAGAACCTCACCTTTTCCTTCTCTTTTGCAAGGGGCCTTTTTGGGGTCTTTTTTCTCATCAGCGCGGGATAACGATTTTTCAAACTTAGGGACCTTTTTAAGAGGACTCGGGTTCTTTCTCACATTTTCCTTCTCTTCCAATCTCAGTCTCAGGGCTGCCACCCTGGACAGAATTTTCTTCTTCACCCCCTCAGCTAAATGTCCACTTCCTGAGGTTTCTTGCTTCTTCTTGATCCCCTCTGACTCTGTCACTGCTGATTGGACCCCTGGGAAGTTGCCAGTCTGGGTGGCCACATGCCTGGGCATTTCCTTTCTGGACTTTTTCCCACTGTCCAGGGTGGAGCGCTTTTGACACAGGTCCTGTAGTAACAAGCCCTCAGGGACTTTCTCTGACTCACATTCTCCTGAAATGAAAGCCAAAGTCATTGTTGGGGAGTCAGATGAGCTTAGGGGTTTGGTTTCCGCAATTTGAAGCTCCTCCGTTTTCAGTTCCTCAATGTCATGACTTAATGAAAAGTGTGTGACATTTCCTTCGGGAAATGAAGCGCAAGGTGACTGTGTAAGATGACTTGAAGAGGACACATGTTTTTCATACTCATTCTCAATAGTTCCTCTTTCCTTCAACTCAGGAACTACATCTTGATGGTTTCTGGGCTCAGATCTACCATGAATGTGACCTGTGGAGTTGCTGTCATCCACAGATGCACCCGTCATTCCTGCAAGACAACTGGGAAGAGGTGAAGTAAAGACGACTTCAGCCTTGCCCCTTTTCCTTTGCTTAGCCTCCCCCGGGCTTCTGTTACTACCATCTTGGCTCATGCAGCATACACTTGGAATTCTTTGTACCCCTTTACTACGACACAGGGCTTGCCAAATGGCAGGCTGGCCTTCCATTTTTGCTCCATTGTATTGACCTTGTTCAACCTCTGTTCCTTCTCTGTCTACCTGGTCTTGGTTGATTGTTTTTTCCTTACGAATGGTAATGTCTTGGGGACGTGGTACTTGCAGAACGGCAGGTTGGACTTCTACCCTCTGATCTAAGTTTCCGTCCGTGAATTTGTTCCCCTCCCTGGTGGAGTCAGAAGGCTTTGGCTTCTCAGACCAGGCATATTCCATCTTACCCCTACCATCAATGGGATCCACAGAGGATTCCAGGATATTAGCGATGTTCACAAACTGGTTAGTGAAGGCAGAGTGATGCACCTTGAGCTGATTTTCTTCCTGTTCTTGACTCCTGGTTTTAACACTTTCTTTCCCTCCAGTTTTGGAATTCTCTGGTAGGTAGTCTATGACATCTAATTCCTTTTTATCAACAGGGTCTACAGATGACTCCAGGAGTCTGGGCTGTCTTAAACACTGGGAAGAAAGACTGCTCCAGTGTGCATCACTGGCTGGTGTGTCACCTTCACAGGTTTCCCTGTGGTCAGCAAGGACTGTTGCCTCATTCTGAGCTCCCAGCGCATCTGGTTTCAGCATGGCAACATCTGCCTTGAGGATGTCAGACAGAGCCCAGGCCCTGCCAGGGACTGTGAGACCAGCTTCTGCCTCCTTGTACTCAGAATCTGTCACTTGTTTTGGTGGCCAGATTTCAAAACCAGAAGCTTCTAAGGTTATAATCTTCACCTTGTTGCCTGCTTCCCAACTTCCTAGTCCAGAGTCATCACTCTGCCAGAGGAGCATTTCAGAGAGAGATGGAACACTGTTCAGTGACTGACTGTCTTCCTCCATAGTCGTCTTGGCCATCACAGAGACACTGGTCCTCAGGTTTGAGTCACATCCTCTTTCTTCCCCAGAGTCTGCTAGGGAGCATTCCAAGGACTCCACATTGGCTTCCTCTAGCATGGCAGATATTGGGGGCAAGATTTCTTGGAAATCATTTGCAGAAAGAGAACTCTGGTAGGATGGGCTCTGTGGTTGGATAGTCTGCTTCATTTCACTTCCTTTTTCTTGGAAATCCTCTTCAAAGCTTCTGCTGTCAGCTCTGTCTACAATCTGGCTCTTATCCCCAGGTTGGTTATCAATCTGAAGAGGGGAATTGCGACGTAAATCCTCTCCCTCAGGTAGTGGGAGAGTATGTCCATGAGCTCCTGGAATGCTGGGTGCCAGGTAAGGTAGCTCTTTGGTAGATTCAGATGTGGAGCCGCTTAAAATATGACCCGACTGTAAACTGGAAGAAAACTGGAAATTATTTTCATCTAGTATCTCAAGTGAAGTCTTGTCAGCACCATCTATAAGGTTGTTCTCAGAAACTGAAACAGGGTAGTATTTGGTTTGGTGGACTTTGGTGGCAACAGCACCAATTGATGTGTCCTCAATCTCTCTGGTCACTTGATGACACTCAACATTAGCAGTTAATGTAGTAGTTGACTGCTCTTCTGGGAGCCTCATGTCTGAATTGCAACTGGCTGGTATGTCTGTGGCAGCTGGGGCACTGATTTTGGGCCTTTCATAGTCTCCTTCATTAAAGTTCACAAAAGAATTATCCTTTGAGGTAGGGGGCTGTGCCTCCTCAAGCCCTCCTGAGTCGTAGGGACTCAGCCTTGCCCAGCCAGCCTGTTCCATGGAGGATAAGATGGAGAGGGAATTCTCCACATCATCTAGAGTTGCCCCCACAGCACCCTTACTGGCCTCCTGTGACATGTTCCAGGTGAAAGCATTGGTAAAAAGAGGGGACTCAGACGAGTTTCCAGACTTGCCGCATTCACATATGGACTGTGGAAGTTTAGAACCTTCTGTTTGAAGAACAGCCAGTATCTTGTCAGGAGAATATAAATCACATACTTTGCTTTGACCTTCTGTCAGCTCAAAGTCCATGGGGCAAATTTCTTGAGGAAAGTATTTATCAACTGGTGCTCCAAAAGGAGGATCCATGGTTTCATAACATGTTTCTCGGTCACCAGCTTCAAAACAATCCATCACACATGTAGTTTCTCTCCCCCTTGACCCACTGCACACATTTTCTAGGGTGAGGGAGGGATCTGTAGGCTCCAGGAAAGCAGCAGAGAGAGCCTCAGGCTCCCCATAGTAGACCCTAGCATCCTGAGGGAGATGTACTGAGAGTGGAACAGGAGACATTTCTTCATAATTGGTTTCCAGGGCACTCAGTTCATGTGCTAGTTCTGCCCAGAGACCACTGGGCACATCGTCTTCTCTGTTCTGGCTGTCTTCCTGCTGTGGGCCTTGAGTACAGCTTTCCAGCCCCAGGTACTGGGCCAGTGGTACATTTTCCTTGTTGATCTTGCTTAAAATGGAGACAAAATTCATTGTGGTCCCAGGGAATGAAGACTCCTCTCCAGCAGACACAGAGAAAGCTGGCATGTGGCTGAGAGAACTTCTCTCCCTGAAGGCTTTCTGAATTTGCATCTAGGAAGATGAAAAGTGGTATTAATAGAATTGTTCCTGGGAGAGGCCACAATAGGACTTATCTGCAGTCCCAAGAATGTTAATCCTCAAGGACTATAATGAGGGACAGGAACAGTAGCAGGAATGACTGAAATCTGAACATTAATCTCCAAACTTGTTCTGGCTATTAGAGACTTCCTGGGGAACTGTGAATTTAAATCATTCCATGTTCCAAGGGATTCTTGCCCAATTTCACCATTATAAGCAAAAAGCCTCCCAGCAATCATCATTTATTTAATAATTTTTTCCCCTCTCTCTGAGGAAAAGAGATGGAAAAAAATTGAATGCTAAACTATTTTGAACAAATAAGCCACAGCAAGATCTGTGTGCATCATTCTACAAAGATAAATTGCACATGATCATTATAAACGAAATAGACATTGCTTGCAAAGCAGCAATGAGCAACTTTTGTCCCCAATAATGACAGCTTACTGATTAATAACGTCGTTAAAGAACATAAGAGACAGCCAGACATGGTGCATGCCTGTAATCCCAGCACAAGGGAGGCTAAGGCAGGAAGATAATTTGAGCTCGGGAGTTCAAGACCAGCCTGGGCAACATTGTGAGACCCCATTTCAATACACACACACACACACACACACACACACACACCACAACACACACACTTCAGTATATGTAAGAAAGATAGGGAGAAAAAAAATATCTATTCTCCTTCTAAATACCTTAAGTGTAGAATCCTTTATATTCAACAAAATTTTAGAAAACAAAGGTAGAAAATGAACAGAGAGGGACCCGTCTTTGAAGCCTGCTTCCAATGGTGTAATAGAGATATGATTAGTCACTAGCACTGCCAATCATTTCTGATCCAGAAAAAGATTATAAAAATCCTGAACAAGAAACCACCTTCTCAAGAAGTAGGAGATGAAGGACTGCTTCGATTGCTGGGAAAAGAGAGAAGGGTCAAAAGGAAGTAAGAAAGGGAGGGAGGGAAGAAATCTCACAATCTGAAGACTGAGTCCATCACAGGACTACCTAAGCGCTGTGTAATGCTAGATATTAGAAAACAAACTCTTTGCCTGTTCTTGGCTCTTGAAACTTTTAGCCCATTGATTATTTCAAAACAAAACAAAGTCATGCCCAGTCAAGAGGAGCAGATGGTTATTCTTGGACGATCACTTCATCTTTGCCCCCAAGATTCCTGCTTTGGGGAGCTCCACCCCAATGTTCAGGGAACAGAGAATTGACTGACCTTAGCAAGGGGAAGAGTGGGTGCCTCCCCCAGCCTGTGATAAGACAGAGCTGAAATGTTCGTGCTCACAGGAAGCTCCAGTCCTGAGGCTTATTTCCATAAATCCCATGTGAAGACAGGTCTTCTACCTCGTGGTTAATTCCTCTACCGACTGCCAGCGAGAAATGGAACAAAGCTCACCCACACCTCTCTCACGTGCTCCCAGGCTGCTTGCTGCCTGTCAGCATTCCTCTCTTGTTTTCTCTTTTAAGATACCCTGAGATCCATTTAACTTGGATTTTATTGGCATAAAAGTATTAAACTGAATAAGAAATTTAGTATGAGCTTCATAATGGCTGGGACCCAACCAATTGTTATTGAATGCCTCCTACATACTAGGAAGTGTTACAGGTAAGGAGGAAACAAGACGGACAAGTAACTTGTCTGCAGAGAACTCCCATTCTATGTGTGATCAAGGCACAATATAGCAATCAGCATTTAGTAGGCGTTTAAAAAGTATTCATTGAAAGAATAAGTGAAAAACATGCACCAACTGAGACAACTCTCACCCAAGATCACCTATGAAACCTCTAAATTTGAAAGAGCCTGCTTTTCTATCTGCTTAGAATTTAGGGAGAGCCTTATTTAAATTTTTTATTGGTTTATTTTTATGTGTATGAGTGTTTTGCTTGCACTTTTGTAGGTACACCATGTGCATGTAAGCCCAAGAACGCCAGAAAAGGGTATCAGAACCCTTGAAACTGAAATTACAAATGGTTGTTAGCTGTCATGTTGGTACTGGAAACTGAACCCAGGAACCCAGGTCCATTGCAAGAGCAGCCAGTGCTCTTAACTGCTGAGCTATCTCGCCAGGTCCAAGAGCCCTATTTTAAAGACTTCTAGCGAGGCATGGTGGTGAACATATGTAAGGCCATGCTTGTTATACAAAGAGTGTGAAGCCAGTTTGGGCTATATGAGAGAGAGGAGACGCAGTAACAGCAAGATGCATAGGAGAGAGAGAGAGAGAGAGAGAGAGAGAGAGAGAGAGAGAGAGAATTTAGCTATAATAACCATTTGCTCAAATCTTGGTGTTCCTAAAAAGAAAGAAGCTGTTCTGTCAGTTGTGGCACTCTGATAGGATAAGTTGAAGAATGATATAAACTATATTTACTCTCTTTTTAAGTCAAGGGGCTGGAGAGATGGCTCAACGATTAAGAGTACTGACTGCTCTTGCAGAAGACCTGGGTTCAATTCCCAGCACCCACATGGCAGCTACGAACTATCCTTAACTCCAGTTCCAGGGGAATCTGAAGCCCTCTTCTGACTCAGCAGTTAAGAGCACTGACTGCTCTTGCAGAGGACTGGGGTTCAATTCCCAGCACCCACATGGTGGTTAACAACAATGTGTAGCTCCAGTTCCAGGGGATCTGATGCCTTCTTCTGACCTCCGTGGACACTGCAAGACATGGGTGCACTTACACACATGTAGGCAATACACTCATACACATAAAATGAAAATAATAAATAAAAATATTTTAAGTCAAAATGACTCATTATATTAAGATGGAAAAGGAAAAACAAAGATTTAAAGGAACAAGGCTTTTATCAAGTGTCCAGAAGCTTCATAATTGATGAAACATATAGTACTCTTGAAGTTTCAATGAGAAACCTTACCCCCCAGGAGTTTCCCCATGGGCCTGAGTACCTCCAACTCATGGACACTGTATTATTCTCGTTTGCTCTTTTGGTTCAGATTTTAATAATGAGCTATGGTACAAACACACCAAACTATTAAGCATAGAAAGTGTGGCAGCTTCTGGCTATGATTGAAAACTTTAGAGAGACTGCCCAGGGAAAATACTACACCGCCACTCAGCCCTCTCTATTCTGCCTGAACCCTTCCCACCATGTCAGTCCTTTATTTTAAGATCCTGCTGTCATCACAGTACCATCAGTACCAATGGGCATTCAAGAAGTAGCTGCACATGGAGAATTTTCTGCTAGGCACCCTGCAATTTTTCCCAAAGAGTTCCATTTAGATGGATCATTTATTCTCACCCACTCCTGGATGACTGTTGTACCAAAAGGCTGATAACACAAAGACACTGACATCCAGAGCTGGGCCTGGTGGTGCAGGCCTGTGATCCCAGTTATGAGGAAGGCTGGAGCAGGAAGATCACAAATTCCAGGCCAGTCTTGAGCTGCAAAGTGAGTTTAAAGCCAGGCTGGGCAACTTAGTGAGATCCTGCCTCAAAATAAAAGGTGAAAAGAGAGGACAGGATACAGGGCAGTGAGGCTGTGAGCTCAATGCCCAGTACTGATAGATAGATAGATAGATAGATAGATAGATAGATAGATAGATAGATAGATAGACAAATAGATGATAGATAGATAGATAGATAGAAGATAGATTGATGGATGGATAGATGATAGATGATAGATAGATAGACAGACAGATAGATAGAAGATAGATGATTGATTGATAGAAGATAGATGGATGGATAGATAGAAGATAGATAGATAGATAGAAGATAGATGGATGAATGGATAGATATATAGATGATAGATAGATAGATGATAGATGATAGAC